AGAACAAGCAGATCAGCTCCTCCGAAACAGTTGCGTCTGATCCCACTAAAGGCGCCACCTCTTCCAACGCACTCCCTGCTCTGCTGCTCCCCTACACTGTTTACGACCCTGTGCTGTCGAGTGGAGATGCCGGAGAAGTTCTTGGTCAGGCAGCAAAGCTCTCCAAAAAGCGTTGCGCCCCGAAGTCTTAGGGCCTAGGGGTGGCTTGGTAGATGAACGGGCCGTGCCCACAAAGCAACCTTGGCGCCGTTCTGCCTTGGGCTTCCTGCGCTGGTCTGGAGTCGCTACTCCTGCCGTGTCTGGCAGCCTGCGTTGCTGGCTGGTGATGCTCCGGCATTGCTGGCCATTGAAGCAGCCTGTCCCTTTCCTGCTGTAGTTCCTCTGCGGGTTACTGTTTAGGCCTGCCTGGTGCTGACCTGCAGGAACTTACCTGTCCCCCCCTAACTTTCTGGCGGTGTGATACGCCACCTAAAAAAAAGAAAACAGTGGGTGTGCTTGCACTGCATGTGTTTTGCATTCTGTCTGTGATTCTGTGTGACTGTGTAGTGACGGATTATCGTGGAGATAAGCCGCGCTTTTCACGCCTGCCGGGGTCCTTCAGCTTTCTAGATTTGCGGGTTAAAGTTTTAAAGGTTTGGGTCCGTGATTAATGAACAACTTTGGACCAAACGCGTTGGCTTTTTGAAGGGCCTGGAAGACGGCGGGGCGTTTGACTGGGTGGTGTGGTTTTTAATATGCCGGCCTACGTACGGGGGCTCGTTCCGACCGTGAAGAGGCTCTGCGGCTCTACGTGTCTGTTACGGAAGCATATCGTTGGAAGCGTTTGATTTTGATTGCATGTCAGTTCAGATTTCCGTTGACAATTTGGCGGTTGAGAATATATCCCGACTAAGTTTAAGGCAAGTGATGAGTTTTTGAAATCCCACCTTGCCCGCTATTTGTAAGAAAACGTCTTCGTGCAGCCCGTGGGGTGGAATTCGGACTGTCCTGAAGGCATTGTGGGGTTGCGATTTCCATCCTTCTTGGCTTGATCCAGATTTTGTGTGTTTTTCATGCTTGCCAAGGTTTGGGGCTGTTTGGTTGCCATTGTTTCTCATGTTTCTTCTGTGCACCTTAAACTTCCCCCCATCATTTAGGTCTTCAAGGTCTCGGGTTCAAAGTTTTTTTTTGGGTTCGTGACAATACAACAGCTGTCATTTTTCCATCGGTTTCTCGGAACACTGAAGGTGTGGGAATGCGCCTATTGCTCGTATTTGTTGCTTGTGGTTGACACCAGATCAAATTTGGAAAGTGAATTGATAAATAAGGCTTGATGGAGCCAACTCCACAAAAATCTTGAAATTGTAGCTTGTCTAGTTGAGTTTAGTGTTGCAAAAGTTTCATGAAAAATGTTCAGGCTCCATACGCATGTGAATGTTTGTACAAGAACATTGATTCCAAAGGTGTTTGCGAGGCTATTCGTCTCCGAAAATACCAGTGCCAATGGTTGCCGGTGCATTCATGTTTTTGCTCGGTTCAAAGTATAGTGGCAAGTGCGTGAATTCCTCCCATGTTGGCACAAGAACTGAGCTGACACTCCAGAGCTAGATGTTCCATGATTTTTGCATTGCCGTCGCATGCCGCTTGCAAATTGGTATGTTTCATGCACTGAACGCGCCAAAGTCCCGGTGCAAACACGTGTGTTGCTATTGTCCCAACCTAAGCTAACAGCAGCGCATGGATGTGGCTTTCAAATGGTTTGACCTGAGCTTTGGATAATTTTTTGGGCCCGCCAGCTTCATGCTTGGCGGCCAGGCTCCATGCGCATCGTGCATCTGCATGTGCTGTTGCTAATGCTGTTTATCTGGCAGGCAGACCCTTTGCGAGATGGAGGCAAGACGTTGTAAATGCCACAGTAAAAATTCGAGTCTTCTTCAAGTGGCATTTCAAGACCGTCAGGCCGTGGGGAACATCATGTTGAGCCTGCACAGAAACCTCCAAGAGATTCAGACATCCTTGGATGGTGTTCCTGCCTCCCTTACAGTGGAGCACTAGCGTGGAACATTCAGATAGTCATAGGACTTTTTATCGGGACGTTTGCGTTATATAACAGCATCAAAGACATGTTAGTTGAGTGTTTGCTGGGGATTTGCTTGATTGTTGAAATGACTGGCTGGTATTGCATGCCGGGAAATTCCAGGAAGAGGACAAAGCCGGGAGCATGAATTATTGCCAGCTGCTGAATCATGACACAGTTGGGTAAGCATGTGCCTTTCATGTTCACCAAGGCAAAATGCAATAGACCGGGCTGAGCAAGCCCTGCGTGCGCAGGCTCGTATTGTTGCATTGTGCCGAAATCGTGCGTAAAAGCTCCCATGCACGTTGTCGGCTTCATCGGACAGGCTCTGAGCCTTAGGCGGACAATTGGAAGTGATGTAGCGCCACTTTGTTTCCAGATTGTTAACATTGGCTTATCTGTCTGGCTCTTGTGGCCGCATCGCGAAGGTTCTGCATGTTTGGCAGACGATTGGATTGCAACCCCATCTCCCAAAAGTTATGATTTCTTGCACTTAATTCGCTGGATAAGTCGCCATGCATTCTCTGTGCAATGCTCGGCAAGCTGTTCGGGAAGTCAGCGCCAGCCGCGCCACCGGCACCTCCAAAAGCACCCCCCCTAGCTGCCTTTGCCGCAGATGATCCTCCTCTTCCTCCACCAGCGGCCCCGCCACCAACAGGACCTCCAGCGCCTGGCCCAACATCCACACTTGCCACACTTCAAACTGTCCAAACACCTCCACCATCTACCGCAGTCAAGGCACCCCAGGCTGTGCCGGCACCACCTCCAGGCCCTCCAACCAGTGCCCCTGATGCTTCGCCGCCTCCTCCGCCATCTCCCCCTGCAAAAGCTGTGCAAAAGACCTCTTGGTTTGGTTCCCTCTTTGCCTCTAAGACTCCCAAGGCACCAAGTCCGCCACCCATTCCTTCGGCTCCTGCGCCACCAGAAGCTGAAAACGGGGCAAAGGATGAAGCTAAAGCAGCAGCACCCGCACCGCCCACAGCTTCAGCTGCGGTTCCGATAACGTTGCCACCTCCCACCCTGCAGCCCTCGCCTGCCACCCCAGCTCCGGCTACAGCTCCCGCTGCACCCACAGCGCCCTCAGGACCCGTCCTGGCTCCCCCGGCTCCCAAGGCTGGCCCTGCATTGCCTGCACCAAGCACATTGCCGCCGGTGGTGACACGCCCTTCGCCGGAACACCTGCCGCCACCCACCGTCACCCAGCCCCCCCCAGCTTCAGTGCAGGAGCAAAGCCAAGCTCAGGTGGCACCGGCTCCGCCAACTGCTCCCGCCGCTCCTCCGCTCAGCACCCTGGCTCCGCCCAGTCGACAGCCACTGTCGGCTCCGCGACGGCCATCTGAGATTCGGCCTGTTGAAATGGAGGAGGTGACTCAGAGCTGGCTGTCCTTGAAACAGGACCGTCGGTGTTTAGGTCCAACACCACCTGCGCACGGCACGCTTGGCCATGAAGATTCCAGACTCTACGTTCCATGGCCGCAAGGACGTGGTCAGTGATAACTTTTTGTGACCTTTTCACGGCTTTTCTGACGGTTGAGGTTCTACGAATGACGGCCGTGGGAGGGATCGAGGCAACAAGCTTAAAACAAAGAAACACAGAAGAGTTTGCTTGTTGCTCCTCAAGCTACATCCTGTGGCAGAATCCTTCTTTGATGCAGGTCCCAATCGCAGCCAATGGTGCTTTGCAAAGGCCATGGGTGCTTTGCTGTACGGCAGCAAGAGGATTGTGGCCCGCAGGCAAGCCTTGGCCCGCTTGGCTCGTGCTGCGGAGGAGGAAATGCCGGAGGCGATAGCCAAAGCCAAAACCCATCGCAGGTTTTTTGCATTTTCTCGGGATGTGGCAGCTTCACAGGCTTTGTCTTTGCAGATCCGGCTCTCATTCCTGTATGTGCCTGTGGGTGGGAGGCAGGTGCCTCGTAGAGTCTGCTGTCTGTACGCCATGAAGTCACACTGGCTGAGCCCTACAGGCCTGAGCTTTTTGGTTACAGCTTCTCGACAACACGTTTGCGAATTCTGCGGGCGGCCCACTCAGGCGTAAGAGCCTGTGACTGTTAATTCCGCATCCTGCACTGCAAGACTGGAGGTCCAAAGCCAATTAGCGGCCAACGCCAGCAATGGTAACGCCGTGGTGCGAAACCCGGCAAGCCTCACTGCTGGCTCTTCGGATTGCAAGTGAGCGAAGTTCAGGTACACGCCATAGTCCACTTCTCAGCTTCTCAGCGCTGAGTGGGCTGCCGACAGCTGCAAGCCAACCAGCAAGCCATCTGGTGCATGCGTCATCATGCGTCATATGCGTCATGCTTGTGGCATTAGATTGTAAGGCAGAGCCGCCAGCGCTTTTCTTCTTTCGCTCCAAGGTTGCCAGCTTGTGTCTTGGAGAGGGGCATCCAATGACTGGCTGCACTAGGTTGTGCATGCACTCCTGAGGCAAAGAAGTGCAGGTCCTGGCTGAAGTGTTAGCTTTCGAGGAGGGATTGGTCTCAAAGCTGACTGCCGGGGTTTGGGCCAGTGGTAGCTCTGCACCAGGATGCACCAAAGAAGCCAGCAGCTGGATCGACAGCCCCAGCAAACAGGAGAGCCTGTGCTTTTTTGCGGCCTCCAAGTTTAGTGCTTTTTCTTGAGGATTTGGAAGCTTGCGGTGCCGATGCCCAAGGCGAAGGCCCTGCCAAAGGCCCAGCCGAAGCCAAAGCCCAAGGCCAAACCAGGCAGCCCCGAGCCACCCGAACCCAACCAACAAGGGGATCTTCGTCCCTTCAAGCCATTGGGGGCTCCGCCGGGTGGTCGGGCAGAGTCCGCTTGGCCACTTTCCGGTGGGGAATATCCCGTGCCGCTGTATGCTGACCCACCTCCTGAGTGTGTGCTAGGCTGGGCATTGCTCCGTTTCTTGGCTTTCAGAAGTCTCGGTGGATATCACCTTGTTCGGATTGCTTGGCTTTGAAAGCTTGAGGCTTCGACCTGGCCACTGAGTCCCGGAGTGCCTGCCGCGCTCAGCTGCGACCGGGAATGCTCCGAGACTACCTAGCAAAGAATCCCGCAGGCGTGACAGCGCATGCAAAAGAAATCCTGAGACTGATCCGAAACATCTTCTTGCGAGGAAAGAGCACCACGGAGAAAGAGAGAGACCTGGCTTTGGCACGGCTTTTTGCTGGAAGCTTCAAGGCTTGCGGCTTGGGTTCTTTGCTTCTTGAATCCAGCTCTAGCATTCTACCTCCAGGCCAAGCAACCTCCCACCTTGGAATGGGACCTGCAGGCAGTCTTCTTGTTTCTACCTTCGTCTCATGACCAGGAGTTTTTGCGAGGAGTCCCAAGCCAATTTCACTGCGTTAGGTGACACCCCTGGACGATGCGCCACGTCGGCTGCTGCCACATGACTTCCCTGTGTGGTGCTCAGACCGAATGGTTCGATGCGGGTCGGGTTCTGTTGATATTAACATCATGTTGTGGAAGTGGGAGGCCATCTTTTCTTTGTTTCAGGTTCCAGGCCCAGGGTGGCTCGGGTTGCTGTGCAGGCCGTGACGGAATCCTGCCGCATGGGTGGCCTCGAAGTCGTCGAGGACGGCTCGCAATCTGTGTGAGTTCCTTTTCGTAGCCTTCAGAACCCTTTCAAATATTTAGCCATAGGATTCCGTAGCTGTTGTGCTTTGTCTTGGTGTGTGCTGGGCTGCGAGGACAAGGCAGGACTGCAAATTGAAGGTACTCTGAGCCCCAATGTGCTGGACCCGGACGTGACTCTCCGAGGCAGGGTTGAGGAGCACTGGCAACATCTCTGCTCGAAGTTGCTCTTGCCAGGATTTTTGGTGACACTCCCCGCGGGCTGGACAGATAGCTTCCTGAGGCAGGTCCTGACCTTAAAGGCAAACACAAGCAATCGACCATCGTCCAGGTCAGTACCTCAGCCGCCTGCACCGATGACTGGCCTGTCATTGCCCTGGCACCCCAAGCAGCATTGCACGCCGGCCTTGCATGGCATTGCGCTATCTTTCAGGCCGTCTGCAACGGCTGCCTGGGAGCTTCAGGAACTTCATATCCTTGTGCTGGCCTTAGCTGCGTGGCTAAGCGTTGATTAATGCTACCTAACTGCTAGCATTCAGGTCGGCTCCCACAACACGCTTCGATGGCTGGATGAGCCTTTGCGAGGCCTGGTCGGTTTGTCCAGACTGTTGCGAGAACGCTCTGTTTCGCGTCCTTCAGCCGTCCTCCTTCGTTTCATGTAAGAGTTGCTTACTTGATCTTTGGCAGGCCTGACTGCGGGGATGGCTGCCCACTACCCGCTGGATGACACGGGCCACACATGGCGACTGAAGCTTGACAAGCTGGACTCACTGCGCGTCTGCGTGTCAGCCCGACACGACATGCTGCGCAAATCATCCACAGGAGGACGGCCAGCGTTTCTGGTTTGGTGGCGAAGTTCCGCTGGAGTTTGTGCCGGATTCCAGAGTTGCCTGGGCTTGCTCTGAAAGCTGTCGACAGCCTTGTTCCAAGGTGCCATCCAGACTGTGCTGTCATTGTGGAACTTGTGGCTGTGCTGCGTGCACCCGGTGTAGCTGCACCACCTACACAAGTGAGGCACTTAATGGAATGGGGCCTGAGCACTCCGCGCAGTTAGGTGTGAGAGTTTGGCACATCTGAGGCCGCCACGTCCCCACTTCTGACAGATCAGGCAGGTCAAGCTCAGGACCTTCTGCAGCTCGCTGAAGAATTTCTGCTGAGAGGAAGATATGCTCTAGCAGACTTTGAGAAACTTCAGCAGACTCTGTCTATTTTGTGCCAAGGCAGAAGCAAACTCTGGGCTGGCTGCTTCTGCTTCCCTTCTACCAGACAACCAGCGAGGTTCACTTCATGAGCACTACTTCATTCTGTACGGGGCCCTGTGTTTGCAGGGGCTGCTGAAGGCAGCCGCTGCAGCTACCGGCGAGCGTCAGAGGCTTAGGCTCAGACCTCACCGTAGAGGTGTAAAGCCCTTGCACGGGTTGGGCAGCATGAGGTTTCCAACAGATGACTGTTATTTGCAGCTGGAGGTCCCTCAGTGGCCTTCGATGTCGAATTCTTCGGAGGGCCGGGCTTGTCCGTTCTGTCCGAAGAGGCAGCCGTTTTGCCGTCACACATCAGTAGTTGTCCGCCCACTTCAGCGATCCAATGAAGCCTTTCAGCCTCAGCAGCCTGCTGACTGTTCTGCCATTCCTTTCGCCTTCAATTCAGATTTCTCAACATATGTCCTGCCATCTCGGTTGTTGGGTGACTCTTCCGTTGGCTTCCTGTGTTGTATGTCGGCCCCTCCGAATCCCCAGGCCTGGATTCTTACCCAGGAGCTCTGAGAAACCCTGAGGATGCTAAAGCATCAACCAGCTGGAAAAGGCGTTGGAGTGTTTGCGGCTTCGTCTCTGGAAGACGTCACTCGTATGTTGCCCATTCCTGGATGATGTCTATATGAGGGCATGTTCACCGTAAAGAACTGCCAGAATCCGCCAGATGGATCTCAGTCAACCTTTTCTTGTGGAACCTCGACGGACCTGCTGCAGTGGGAACCGGCGCTTTGCACTTACATCACCATCCCACAAGCATGGATGCCAACCACATTTAAACTCCTGAAAGCTGTCATGTTTGCCACCGTGCTGGTGAGAGTCAAGGTTGAAGCCGTGACTAGGGCTATGACTCCCAGCATGGTGATGATCCTCATCATCACGACCACCAGCATTCGTATCCTGATTAGTTTTCAAGTTCAAGAGATTTTCAGTGGCCAGTAGAGGAATTGTTTAAGAAGCAATGGGCAAGCGAATCAAGTGACTAGGCAAACATAATGAGCACTGAGAACCTTTGCCGCATGGTCTTTTCGATGCTAGCATCGTGCCAGTCCTGTTTGGCTATGTTGCAGGAAACCTGAGTACAAGCATCGTTTGTGACACGGGTCTCGGTGATGTTCAGCAGTGCGCTGAAGAACAAGCTGTCGCAGACAACAGCCGCAGGAGTAGATTTGCGGGGAAGCTCGTGCGTGCGCATTGAGTTTGGGGGAAGGGTGGTCAGGGCTCAAGGGGAGCAGTGGGCAACAGCAGGAAGAGGGTCAAGGGCCAAGGGGGTGGAGGGGGTCTGAGGGCGAAGATCTCAGAGATCGGGCCCCAAGCTTCAAGCCTCTCTATACTTGACCTTCTTCCCCAGGAATTTCATTCTTCTCTTGCTGTTGTTCAGAGGCTGTGTTGGATTGATCAGTTGACTCAAGTGGAAGTCTGTGTATTCTAGTGCCAGGGAGCACCAAGCTAGCCAGTGCCGAAGGAATCCAAGCAGTCATGAAGCTGCGACGCCATGAATCGGACAGTGACATTGTGCTGGGCGCCTTTGTCTACACTGGGACTGCTGCAGGTTTGGTCGGCTTCTGCCCAAGGCCAAACTACCATTAGCACAAGGCGATGTTCTTTGATCATGCATGACTTGCATTGACTGAGTTGACATGTCATGCCTTGTACAGGCAGTGTGAATGTCAGGCCTGTCGACATGTCGAAGCCTACCCGGCCTGCACTTTCAGCAGGATGCTGAGACATTTTGGCACGTCAGCTGATTGTTGCAGCTCATTACTTTGATATTCGTACGGGGCCAGCGTAGTGCCTGTAGATTTCATGCACAGCTGCTCAGACCCGAGGACCAACGTAGGAAGACCGCATTTTCGTGCTTGGGTTTGTAATTGAGGCCAGCAGGCTTCAAGCCAGCTTTCAGCTTTGTGGCGATCGTTTGATACAGCCAGAGCCTTAAAAGCCTTTCATTCTTTTTGTTGCTTATTGTTGCATGCTCTGCGGAGGTGGCTGCGTCAGCATATACCACTGCCGAAGCCAGAGATTCAGTTTCCTGCCTGCAAGAAGTTGCCTTTCAAGATGGAAAGAGAGTGGGTGCGTGATCTCTCAGGGAACCGGCGCTACCAAAGCCCACAACCTTGCAGCCGCTGCACCTTGTTTACAAAACTCGTCATTTCCTGAAGACTTGCAGACGGCGGATTGCAACCAAGGCCATCGGTCTTCCCCCAGCCCCAGGCAGCCGCTGCAGTACCGGCTCTGGGTCCACAGGACTGACCTTGAAGAAAGTTCCAGAAGAGCCTCGTGAAATGCAATCATATGCAATCGCTGCCAGGGCTTTCCATATGCTCCACCCCAGTTGGCTCAACCGGCACAGCCCGTACAGCCGGCAAGTGTCTCAGTTCTTACGGTACTGTGCAGACGTTGAAGCAGTGAACCATAGTGAAGCAGTCCTTTGGTACAGCAAGCTGCAGCTGGAGGTTCGTCCGCTGCCTACATCCATACATCAGGTCATGCCCCTGGCAGTGGTCCGGCTGTTGATGCTGTTTTGGCAACTGTCATCCAGAGGATAGGACTCTTGTGCTTGCCGAGGGTCCGATGGTGTATCAGCCCACGCTTGCACCCTCCATGGCACCAGCCACGACACAAGTGCCGGTGCCAGCACCTGTCGTGGAGAAGGTTTACCTGAGGGATCAAGCGGTGCAAAGTGATCCTCCAGCGATCCCAGGCAGGTTTGCATCAAGCTGTCTTAATGATGGATTTTTACGGTGCTGTAGCAGCGTGCCAGGTGTTGACGACAACGTGATTGGTGACCCTAAACCAAAGGTGAGTGTGGGGACGGACGCAGCACCACCTGCACGCCCACTCAGCGCTGTTGACAAGGCTAACTTGCTACAAGGCATAAGTGGCGGGCCCAAGCCGCCAGTCGGGCCATCTGCATCTCCCGGCGAAAGTGCACCTGCTAAGCGCGAGCTCCGCTGGAAGTTCGAGGATGAGGACATGCTCCAAGCGGACGAGATCTCGCTGGAACTCCTGACGCTTCGAACTTTTTCACCTTCAGAAGGGGAGCGAGTCTACTTCCAGCTGCGTTTCTTCCAGTTTCCAGCAGTGAAGACAGCATCGGCTGCATTAGCGGGCAAGGCGGGGGATGCTTGCCTTTTGCGGAGCGCTGTGACCAATGAGCGCCTCGCAATGGTTTTCCAGATGGATGGATACAAGATAGGATCTGTGGCGGCTTCTGCAGCATCTGTGCATCGGCACCTGGTCAAGTATATGAGCGCCCGCAGTGCAGATATCGAGATGTGGAGTGCTGAGTCTGGCATGCACATCGGAACGACGTCAGTCCCTCTCGAGATGCTGGTCAGACAGGGACATCAGGTGGCGAAGGTGGAAGCTGAATATGCAGTCCTGGAGCCCCTGACTGGCGAACCTAAAGGGACCTTGCGCATGCTTCTCGTGAATCGTGGCCGCCCGCCGACCCCGTACCAACAACTTAATTCTAACAACTTACCACCACCCCCACCAGTTGAGGCTAACACTCTCCAGTCACCTCCACCTGCACCGTCGCCTCCTCGTGGAAGAACTCGCCACAAAGTCACCGCTCTGATGGAGCCCGGATCCGACCTTCATGGGGCACAGAATCTCACTGGTCAGGGCACTATGGCTGAAGAGCTGAACCAGAGAAAGCACGAGAGGCTAAAGCAGCTTCGCATGCTTCGCAAGTCCGACTTCGCAGACCCCTTCTCCAACCACTCCGCGCTTCTAGCAGCAGCGGAGTCTGTGCGCCAAGAGCGCAAGCGGCAAGAGGTTGCACGAAGGATGGATCGTTTCAACACCACACACCAGTCTCTTACAGCAAGCTTTGCCACACCATGCTACTTCTCCGTAGATTTCACGAATCCTTACGGGCAGCAGGCCACCTTCACAGTATTGGTGGCGGGAGATAAGCCACGGGCACCAGAGATTTTGCCCGCAGTGCCGCCACAACAGCCGCTGCAAGGAGCCAACGTCTCAGAATTGAGTTCGACCCGAGGTATCACAGTCGGAATTTGGCCGTTGCAAGCCTGAGGTTCTCACAGAGAAGCCAGATCATGCGCTGATGCTTGTGAAGGATCCAGAGGTGCCCTTGTCTCGTTTCAAAGATATTCCAACATACTCCAACATGCGAAGTCCTTCCTTTACACAGGAGTCCTTCCTTAAAGCCAGGAGTGGCGACGGTTGGTGGCCCTCGGAGTGGTGCCCACAGCGCCGTCAGGCATAGAGATCCACACAGGGTGATGTAGAGGTCAGATGGGCATTGAAGAGGACACAGCTTGATGAAGTCGGAAAGCTTTGTATCCAGAGTGTCAGATATGCTGCTAGATTTCGTCTAGAAACGGCGCACGCAGGTGATTTTGCTCGTCTGGCTGCCGGATCCTTCATCCTAAACCCAAAGGAGAGCATCAGCAACTGGATTGTAAAGTGATTTACGTTAATTTCTGCTTCCGAGTTCCATGGCATAAAAGGGGCGCCCTTACTTCGAGCTCAGGTTTGCCCTTTCGCTACCTGGATTTCGGTTTCCCGAGCCTGGAGACAGCAGCCCAGCTGGTGCGGGACTCAGCTTCTTCCACCCTGGTCGGAGTGGCTGAGAGGACCAAGAGTTCTTGCTTGCTTGCACTCATTTTCAAAGGCACCTCCCAGCGGACTCCGCTTGGCCGATGTCGCAGCAGTGGTAGCGGGACCCAGCAGCAAGGACTTTCGGGTGGAGGCTCGGAAGCGTTTGAGAGACTGGGCTGGTGAATGTGTGTGACCTTTGGGAAGGTGGCTCTTGATCAAGGTCCAGTGCTGCGCCGTGTGGAGGCTCTGCTGGGAGATAGGTTTACTCTTTCTATGGATACTTGCTTCAAGCCTTTTTCAGATGCCTTTCCCGACCTATCCTGCTTCATTCATGCAATTTTCCTCTGCATTGCCGGCATCATGACTATCACCAACATCATCCTCATCCTCACGTCATCATGCATGGTGTTATTGCTCTGTGTTTGAGTTGCATATTGAGCCTGCAGGTCTCGGTTATTTCGCAGCCTACTGCCATCGACCGAACGGTGCGTTTCTTCGAGGCTTTCTTGCTTGCTTGCTTGGAAAGAGCATGCGAGGTCTAGAAAAGCTTGCCGTCTGACTCTTAGTGCTGGCAGCCATTCTGTGCCTGCCAGGCCGAGGGCACTGCAGCAGATAAGGCTGCGCAACAGGGGCTGGGGCCGGATCTTTGGGAACCAAATTCCCTACACGGCTTCGGGTGCCAAATCCTGGCGTAGGTGGTTGCGCTGCCACCATCGCCAGATCCGCCTGTAGTCCCAGTCTTCCAGGAAGCTCTGCAACTAGCCTTACCATGAACACATTGTCCGTGTTGTTGGTCTGACAGAGGTCGGCCGGGAGCTGCTACGTCTACTGCACCAACAGAGATGCAACTTGTCCAAAGTACCAAGTCCCATCATTCCACAGATGGGGCCCTGATTCGTTGCGCGCACTTGGGGGCAATCAGTTTTTTATTAGTTTCTGACATGAAGATTGTTTTTCATGTTGGTGGTCCAATGGGTCATGGGTGATCCCTGATTTTACCGGTGCAGGGCCTTTGTTCCAGGGAACGGCTTTTTTGGGGGCTTGTGTTTACCACAAGTATTGTTCGACATATTTCAGGACGGCCTGGCCAGGTGGTAGAGAGAAAGAGACTATTGTCTGTCGCAGTCCCCGGACTGTGAAAAGGAGAACGAGAAGACATCGTGTGTTGGTGTCTGTTGGTAGGATCCTCTTTATTCATCTCGGACCCACAGCGGATGTTTGACCCATACGACTAAATGCTTTGGAACCTCAGGGCACTGAAGGCAAAGAAACTCAACCTGACAAGCTGTCGATGTGAAAAAACAATAAGAAGGCAACTTCCTACCAAGCTTTCACTCCTCTAGTACTCGCAACCACGAAAACCCAAACAACAGCGAACAACTTGGAAAAGGCCACAACCCCCACGTATGTGTGGTGTTGCTATGTATGATGGTCCGTATTTAGGAGTCAATTGCCCGTATTTCCTTTTGCTAGAAGTGAAGATTGAATCCATGTAACTGTCACTGATGCATTCATGAATCTATTTGCAATACCAAAATGTAGCATCGCATTCACTGCTGCACCGTAAAATCTCCAGAAATCAAGCTTTTGGCGGCATTGTTCCCCTTTGCGAAATAGTCAATAAAAAAGTTGGGTGCTACCTCACTTACATCGCGGGTCCCGCTTGTTTTTCATCGGGTGAGATGGCCAGTCCAAAGATGAATTTGTTTAATCCCTTTTGGGGCCAAGGTGCATGTGCAACGACGAGAGCAGGAGAGAGCATTCATGTTGCTGAGTCGCCTCGTGAAGGCTGTATACTGTGACATGAATCTTTGAGAGCAGTGTGCTGGAGCAGGAAGACGTTGATATCCCGTTGACGTTGGTGTTTAGTTTGTGCAACGCTGCAAATGCTTGGATGTTTACTGGTGTGGACGAGGATGAGATTTCGCTGCGGTTCATTGCCCCGCAGTCTCCCAACACGCTGTATCCTTACAGATTGGTCGGAGCGCATGTTTTGAGCACCGTATGATGTCGTCAGCGTTGTCAACCCTGGCTTTCTCAGGCTTTCCTTTTTCCTGGTTTTTTACGCGGATGCGCACTTCAGTCAAGTTGCATTGGCCTCGGTTTCAGGACGTTGTTGCCTCTAAGACCAAGCTTTTGCATGTGAACTTCTGTATTCTATTTCCAAATATTTCCTATTTGCGTGCCTGAATGGAACATGATGGAATTGATTCACGGATCTCCAGGTGGCCATCCAGCTGATCGATGTGCAAGGCCTGCGTACTGAACGGATCCGTCTGGCCAGAGCTCCAGATGCCGTGCCACTTGCCTCAAGTGGTTCAGTTCGTGTAATCTAACCACTACTCCAAGGTAGTTGGACAAAGCGTCGAGCGAGCAATTTGCCCACGCCTGAAGTTGGAGTCCGTGTCAGCGCAAGGGGGTGTCCGAATTGTCAATGCCTGCTAAAGTCTTCCATGCACATGAGCGGATGAGCCTTTCTTGAGGCCTGGCACCAGCAGAGGTGGCAGCCTGCTTGTTTGACGCTGCACCTGCCACAATTTCTTGGTGAGGTTTTAGATGCGGGATCGGTGCGACTGCACTCCTCAAATCCCGAGGCGGCTGAATTTCTTTAGAACTGGCTACGTGGGGTCTAGGACTGGAACTTGGCGGAAATGCAGGTTGTTACGGTGCAGCACACAGCCGAGGCGAATTTCGGAATTTGAGATTCTACATGTCGATCATCTGAAGTTGATTCCAGGAAATGATTTATGTTGCCACGACAAGTTGCAGCCAGGTGGATCCACGCTATGGGGTCAAGTTTACGGTGTTGATTACTTCAATGCAGGCCTGGAACGTGCTGAGATCCAAAGCATTTGTCATCTTTGGCGTTCTTTGGCAAGCCAGGTGGGAACTCGAGCCTGCCGTTTGCACGCGGTGGATCCAGCGATACGGCGGCTAGTTGCTGCCTTGATCCCAGCGCAGGGAACACACTTCGGCATTGGAACATGAAGCTTAGCTTTGCCGAATCCTCCAGGCCCTACTCGTCGTGGTGGCAGCAGATCCGCCTGAAGTGAAGGCAATCTGCCGTCACATGCTAGCTGCGCATTTCCTTTTTGGAGTTGATTTAGTGTTTGATTGTGCCGTCGTTTGCATGTTTTTGTCAAAGCCATGTGTCAAATGCAATCCTTCATTTCGGATGACTTGGTGGAGGTCGGTTTGTGCATGCAATTTTTCGGGACACTGGAAGTTTTCCTCGATCCAGTGCAAGTTTTGCAGCGACTCGCTCTGCACAGATGGTCCACACCATCACGCTGCCCGTCGGGAGCCTTTCTGGGCTTCTAGTCAAGTTTCTGCGCTTGCCTCGTTTCATGAAGGTCCTGACGGCCGTCCGCAAGCGCCTCCTTTTCAAGAATGAGGTGGGAATCCAGGAGATCAACCAACCTTCCAGACTCGTCACACCATTTGCTGCAGGCAGTCCGGCCCATCAAGTGCCCTTCAGTTACAAGTTGAAACGAAGCAGAAGCTCACTGTTGCTGTGCAGGTACATAGTGCGAGCATCCGAACCAGCGCTGGTGACAGTGCAGCCGAAACCCGAGAGAGGGATCAGCTTCCAAAGTCTGACCGCTTGGCATTTCCAGAGGTCCCCGGAGCTGGTCATCAATTCGCTGGACACTCGATGCATCGAACTCCTGCTGGCATCCCAGCACACTAACCATGGGTTGGCCAATGCCGCATCATCAGACCATTGATGTTCCACAATAAATGTACCTGCAAATCTCCATGCAGACAGGTTTCATGCTGTTCCAGCTACGTTGTCATACAACGCAGAGGCCGGCAGAGCGCAGACTGGATGTTGTTGGCTTTTTGTCAGTCCTTCTGCCCATCTGTCTGTCAGTCTGTTTGACTTCTAGGGAGCAGACTCATTTTCCTTCAGCCAAACTTGAACTCTGCTTGCCAAGCAGAGCGAATTGGGAATTGTTGCCGGTCAGTATCATAGTTCCCTTGCGCATTGTGCTCGGCATGAGTTTGACAAGAAAGGTGTTGTGCCCGTGGCATCTCGATGTAAAAGCTCGATTCTGGATGTCCTGCTCTCATGTTGCCTTCGTTGACGATGACATAGCTCAACGACGCCTGCACAGCTCCACTGTTGCTCAGCCCTGGTGAGTTGGGCTAAAGATAAGATGGGCGATTAGCCATTTGCATGCAAACACTTCCATGACGGAACTCCTCAATTTTCTTGTTCTGGCATTCTTTTAGGATGTCGCACTAACGTCCACAAGTTCCACCACGGCAAATGCTCCTGTCATGTGTCGCGTGGAGATTGCATGAACGATGCCATTTGAAGCCAACACTTTCGCCGAAGATTTGGGTGCTTTCCAGGTGGCCATCAAGTGATTCAGGAAGCACATTGAATTGGTCTAGGTTTGCTGCCGTGATATCCGGACAAAACTGTCAAAGTTTGTACAGTCTGGGATATAGTCACCCCCACCGGAGGGTTTGCCTAGCGTGTGCCACACATGTGTGAGCTGGACCCCCGAGCTCATCTTCAACAAGCACCGTGCAGCACGAAAGTGGGTTCGATTTCCATCTAAGCCATCCGATTCAGTCAAAATCTGAAAACATCCATTAAAACACATTAGTACCTATTGTGACATAGCCACGCACCTGCCAGGTTAGGTTCACAGGTTCACTATAGCTCGGACTACACCAGCAGTCAAAGCCCAATCTCGTTTGTTTGGTCTAGCCTCAGCAGCCATTGCCATTGGCAGGTCTTCCTCTTCATCACGTCAGAAGTGGCTGCCTTGGATGGCACCTGTATGCACCTGTGTACGAACCGGCATCTCTGTTTCTTACGTGTTTTGTTGTGTGCAACGCGCATAGGATCGTGCCATTCACGAGACTCGCATGCTGGAGCTCGCCTACACTTGAGGCAGCTGACACGGTCTCCGCGCAGGAGTCCACAAATTCAGAATTCCTGACGTGGCTGGCCTTTCGGAATGTCTGTGGCTAGGAACGAGGTGAATTCTAAGAAAGGACAGCCAACCTGCAAGCCAACGGCTGCACAGCCGCACTGTAAGTGCATTCGTGCCTGCTAATGAAGTTGTTCCAGCCACAAAGAGGAGCAGGACGACTCAAATGCTGGTCGCCCAAAAAACCTCCGGGAGATGGCTCATTTAATAAGTCTCTTATTTTGGGTGGCTAGCTTCCTGTAGCTCGGAGGTGCAAAGTGCTCTGCACGGGAAAAGAGACGGATGTGTGGTTGCCCACTGAAAGCTTTCGGGTAGGTGCTCTGGAATCTCCATGTCAGGCCCATGCCCTGGTGACCGCAGCACGGAGTTCCAGGCAGATGCTGAGCAGCCCCTTGGCCTTGACAGTGGCCCTTAGCAGCTTTCGCCTGGCCTCTGGCCTTGGCATTGCATGGAAGTGTGACGGCTCAAATTCGCACGACAGGCAACTCTCTGGCAGCATCGCTGCCTGCTCAGGGATTTCTGATGACGTCCTGTGGTGATATCAATATTTTTCGCAACAAAACTTGGCCCCATGTGCCATCTGTGCAGTTGCTGAGGCTTGGTACGGACTACGCTGAGCCACGAGTGCGGTCAACGGTCTGGGCAGACGAGTTTGTTACAGGAGTCATCGTGACCAGGCTTTTCTTTGTTGCTAAAGCTCATCTCACGTGTTCCGAGCGAGAGCTGCTGGGAAACCGTTTTGTTTTCTACAGCTGCACCGGCATACTCGTGCCAGCCCCCGGGCCCACCTCCGCCTCAGTTTCCGCGGGCTCCGGCTGCGATCTCAGGGTGTTGAGCGGTCGCATCCTTGTAGATCTTGTAGCTGGGGCCATGGGTCCCACCTGCAGCTGATTCATCACCTGCAACAACATGTTGTAGCAAAAGACTTGAGCTGGGGAATCGGGCCACCCAGATGCAGGCAGCGCCGCCGGGCTATGGTGGTCGTGCTGCAAGTACGGCCTGGCATGCTAGGGGGTGATTTGAAAGTAAGGAGCGTGTGGTCCTCTTCATGTTCTGCGTGTTCTTTCTCAAGGCTCTTAGTTGTTGTCGTGACGCATCCTGACACTAGGGCTTGCCGAGAAGACCTCTCAGAGCACCGGCGGGTGGACGCCAAATGTCTGCTAAAACGTCTGCATCTCAGCTGCTTGAGCAGCGAAGGAGTGCATTGAATTGTTTAAGATGCGTGCAGTCACAGCATTTTCTGATTGATGGGGCCCTTCAGAAGGGGGTTGGGGCTCAGGACGGGTCGTCGTCGTCTGCTTCCCAAGGCTGTCGATTTCGTTTGTTGCCTGGAGCATGTTTTTACACGGGGCTGGGACTGAGTTGTTTCTTCTTCGCAGATAAATCGCAGTGACCCTTTGGCGGATCCGCCAGCTCTGACGGAGTTTGACTTGCAGGACAGGGGCTCACCATAAGCAGAGGAGGAAGGGAGGAAGGGTGCCTGAAGGCCGGTTTGCTTGACCTCGCAGCCCGGGGCTTCATTCCTCCAGCGGCTGATCTGACGCCCGCTATGGAGCGAGGCCGCGCCTGATTCTCTGAAGCTCGATCAGCTCTTGGATACCCTTTTCATAGCACGGAAGGTGTGCCATGTCTCCTGCAGCGGCCGGCCATGGTCTACGATCAGGAAAGAGACTTCAAGCCCATTATTGAGCTATGCCATGCGATGCCGTGCCTCTTTCCAGGCTCTAAAGCAGGATCGGCACGACTTGAGATCGGAAGACCTGGCCAAGGTATGTCAGTCCTTGTAATCATTGGAGCACATGCTTAGACGAAGCATTGCCATCCGTGTTTTGGCAAAGGTGAGGCTAGATCTGCGAGAGCACGTGCTTCGGACGCTTGGGCCCCTGGAGGACTTCATGGTTGGGCCTTACTGTGTTGAGCAGTATCTCTGTGTGCAATGCTGTGCAGGATCCTCCCAGCTCAGACGTTTCGCAGGTGCTTCCATCGGCACGTCGTTTGAATGGACTTTGATTCATGCGCTGGCAGGCTCGGACTTCTCGACAGCTGCCGCCGTTGCCGCTGAGCAGCATGCTATGGGCTATGATGGTTTTGCGGGTAGAAACGCTTTGCCGGGCCAGGCCAGCACTTCCTGCGCCGCCTGCAGCACCTGGATCTGTGGCAGAGGCTCTTGGAGTCCAGGGGCAGTCACCATCTTGAGAAATGCCGTCCGCACACGACGGGGGATTCTTCGGAAATAGCCCAATATGCCGAGATGCTACAGCAATCTGCCCGATCCCGGCTATAGTAATCCTCCCCAGGGTGATCACCGAGCCCCCTGTGGGCAGTATGTTTGTTGCACGATTTTGTCCAGGGAGATAAGTGTTGCTCACTGTGGAATACTCGAATCCAGATGTGAAGGTGAACAGGTACTGCAATTGTGGTAGAGTGCGAACAGGAGCAGGGCCCGTATAAAACTTGGTTTTGCATGAATGAAAAGCTGCGGTTCGATAGAAAATTTGGAGCATGGATGGAACTGCTTGCGCATTGCACGGCTGTTGACGCTGGTGAGAGGCATATGGCACCTTTTGCACGGAGCTGCTAGATGCAGCTGGAGACGACTCCGCTATCCTTGAGGCAAGCGTCCTTTTATTATTGGTGAGGTGCTTGTCTTCTTCTGTCTGATGAGGCAGCTGTGGCAGCTTTGCCTCCACCAGGTCCGACCGAGGTGTCAATCTCAGGAAGGATTGTGCTTCGTGTTTGCAGTTCCTATGCTATGCTGTCAGCCAGGCTGAAATTGAGGATGCAGCTGCATCAAGGATAGCGGCCACTTGGCGCATGTCTGCGCAGCGCCGAAGGCACCGGGTTTGTGAATCAGTCTGGCAGCGGCTCTGTCATCATGTTTATAGTTTGAAGCTTAAAAATCGGTAAACACTGGGTCTGTCATCCGGTTAGTTTGGATGATGAGCAGGTAGGCGTCAAAGGTAAGGACAAGTGGAAGACAAGTCTCATACGGTTTGGGTGGCAGTAAGAAGTACCCCAGATAAGCTTTTTGGGTCACGTTCCGGCGGGGCAAAAGTGAGACACGCCCCAGGCGCCCTCTTCCAGGGCATGACACTGATCACGAGTCGTCAAGAAATTCATCTTCTCATCGGGGGTCCCAAAGCAATAAATTGGCCAGAAAACATTGCTTGGCGAGTATCAAAATTAGAATGGGTGTGCTATGCTCAGCAGCGATTCAAGATCTCTTGCGTGTGGCACACTACGCTGCACTGCAAGGTATCTGGAATTGCGGACCACACACCGGGCTGCTCGACGCATCCAGTCCGTGGTGACCTCAACAGCTTTGGGAAGCAAGGAGCAGTAACCAAGTTTATTAGAACATATTTGTACCTTGCTGGTGGGCCGCTTGACACAGAAGATAAGCCAGACAGGACCTCCAAGAATGGTCCTGCGTTGTTGACATCTTGAAGCAAGTTCTTACACCTTTGCATGTCAGCTTCAGTCCTTGTGCCAAGGGCTGGCACACATCCGTGGTAAGAGCTGCAACGCGTCAAGAGCTGATGCGTCGTGAGGACGGTTGGGTGAAGCCCATGGTTTACTCAGCGCTCAAACCCTTCGTCATAATCTTGATGTAGATGCAGTCATCGCGGCAGGAGGCTCTTTGAGCAAGCCAATGTCATCAGCTTTGGTAGGATACCCTTGAAACAGGAGGAGGAGCGTAAGCTTCAGACCATGATGATGTACCAGATTGGCCAGGACTGGTTTCAGGCAGAGAAAGAAAGCGTATCTGACCAGGGATGAAAAGATGAGTTTGCTCGTGTTTAGTTGAAGGCCAAAGCCATGCGCCGAGTAGAGGTGCACGTGTCTTGCTCAGAACATTAGCGTTTGGGCAGTGTTTTGGATTCAGGACAGCATTTGCCATGAATCAGCAAGCTCAGCAAGGTTTGTTCGCTGAGCATTGCTGAGCACCGGCGTCGCCGCATGAACGGGTACCAGGCCTCTTGCATTGCAGTTTATCAAACGTTTTCATGATCAGCACGCCAGTCAGAGAAGCAGCTGAGGTATTGCAAGCTGCACAAATAGCTCGCATCTTCCGGCTGGCAGATGCCAAACGGGACACGTCCAAAAAACTGCGTGGGTGCAGCTCAGTGGCTTTCGTCTAAACAAAGCATTGACGTCTGTTTGCGCAGGACATCATATTTGTCGCACCAAAACATATTCACGAGGCAGCGCGCCTTGTTCCATAGACGACAAGCAAGGGTCATAGCTCTTTTGACCTGAAGCAGGACGTCCTGGACTATTACTCCAAGATAATGCAGTTCCGGGGCATCCAGAATCCACCGGGCCGATTTCAGGTGCGTTGCGCAGCTGTGCTTTCACAGACAGGGGTGCGGCGTGATGACGCGCCAGTTCTTGCAGGTTGTGGTTCCAGAGAACATGGATCTCAAGGACAAAATGTCTCTCAGCCAGGCTGTCGCTGGCCATATCGAACTCATGCTTGGCATCTAATATTTGTTCCCTACCCTCACAGCGGGATTGTAGAAGTCTATGTTCTCCTCGCCCTCCGTGCAGTGCCCAACCGCCCGCAGGGTATCCTCATATTAGCGCTGCAGTGTCCAACCGCAGAGTATTTCTGCAGTGCCACAGTGCCCACCCGCATTCCTCCCTACGTCGAGCCACTCTTCGGTACCCTTGCAGTGCCGAACCGCAGAATATCGCTGGAGAGCTTAACCCCACATTATGCCTGCAAGCTCTGTAAGAGACTATATAGTCCTTGCAACCCTGTAGGCCTTGTAACCTTTTTCGAAGAACCCAATATAGTCCTCCTACCACCTTGAAAGGGACGCAATGTAAGCTGCATAATCGGACTGTATACAACGCATACAACGCTCGTAAACCCGTGATGGGGACCCTATGTAGGCCTTACACTAGGAGCCTAGATAGGCAGTATTGCGCCTGTAAAGGGACCCTATGTAGACCACATAGCAACACTACAGTTTTTTTTAAATAGACTTCATAGCTCCTTCTGAGGAACTTTATATCGCCCTTATGACCCCCTGAAACGAACCCTATGTAGCCCTTGTCATCCCTTTACAGGGACAATCTTAGATATTTTTCACCCTGGGAAATTGGCTGAGTGAGATTCACGAAAATCGGTCAATAACCCCGCATACTGGACAATCACACCTTCGGGTGGAGTTGCTTGAAATAAACGATTTGAATCTCCATTTTTCCATCAAATAGGTGATTCGTGACACAAGGCTGAACCATGCCATGTGGAATGCCAGGCTCTACTTTGCTCGCCAAAGGCGGGAACGTCTCAGTGCTGCAGAGACTCTTGCAGTGGATTCTCTGCTTCATCATTTCTTGTGCGGGTCCATGGTCAGAATCGGCTTTTGCACACACGCGCACACACTTTTTTGCATGAAAAATGCTTCAGAGCTTGCGCCATTTGCAGCTCGGCCACATGCATCTCTTGAAATGAAATTCTGGGCTCGTGGCCGAAGGCACTGAAACGTATTCGAAAGCTGGTCAGCAACCGCGTGGCAATGCTGATTCCAGAGGCTGGTGTATCGACGGGCTCTCTGAGAAAGCACCAAGTGCCAGGGCCTGCTTCGATTTCATTTAGACTGCGTCAGGCTGTCACTCATGTCGAGGCGAAGCTCAGTTGTGCCCTGAGGCTGGGAAGTGGAGAGCCCTCAGCACATTCCGTCACTTGCAGGGTTTGCTGCAGTTTGCTGCAGGCTGCCCCTCATCGGTCCCAGCTCACGGAACATGTCGCTTCTGGCGTCCAAGTCCAACGCTAAAGCACGCCAGCCAGCCAGTAGGTTGTCGTTCTGTTTGGTTGATGCTTTGAGCCTCACAAAGATACATGTTGGGGCCTGCGCCCTTCCTTTGCTCAGAAACTCGCGCACTTGGCGCAGCTGCCAATTGGGCCGTGGGCGACGGACATCTACGATGAGGACAGGTGTGCGGTGGCTTAATGGAAAACATGTTAGTGGCTGCCCAGGACGAGTTCTTCACCTGTCTAGCAGGGCTTGTGATCAAGCATCCGAAGGCTTCATGATATGCTGAGAGACTCTTTTGTTTGGATCATGTCTTGAGGTGCGGACATGGCTTTTCAAGATCGATGATGAGAGGGGCTCTCGGGGCACAGCCTACATTGACCTCCAGAAGCTGCACCAGGCAGCTGTGCTGCATCGCGGCATCATGGTGTTTCGAATGGGCGCCATGCCAGGTCCAGCAGAGCATCAATGCCTCGGCTCCGGCACTGCTAGGCTGGATCAGGGCAAGAAGGGAATTTTGAACTGGAGCTTCCAGACCCATCGGAGATGGCGGAGTCTTTGATCGTTTGAGTGCTTGGTGCAGGACCTGATGGCCTAGGCAACTTGTCCGCATGGTTTAGGGCAAAGCCAAGCAGTTGCCGTTCCTTTCTAGTGATGCCTTTTCCGTAATTCAAACTAGCCGGCGAAGCAAAGCTGCACTACAAGCGCAGCTGCACTTAGCGAATCCTGAAAGCGTTCTAAATCACGAATCATGTTAGTTGCATTCCGTGGCCAAATCATCAGAATTGCCGGGAGCAACCAAATCCAAACATCAGTTTTGATCTGATGTGATACGAAGGCATGTGGCTGCCCAAAGAAAAAGCAGAAGTGGTTGTTCAAAGCTTGGATTGTGCGCAGAACATGCTAAGGTCTTGCTGGCAGTTCAGAGGATTCTCCTTAGCGTTTGCACTGTGAACGTTTGCCTGCATGCCTGCGATGAAGTACGCTGAAGAATGCTACGAGGGAGGCATTAAGAGTTGACAGACATTGACGTCTCGCCTTTGCGCCGTTGACCAGTGCCTTCTTCAAAGCGGCATGGGCAGGATCAGGAGCCTGCCATCATCGGAGCAGATGCCAATGAGGCCTTGACCTTCCTGAGAATTCTGAGTCTTTGCAGATGATGACATGCTAGGTCCGCGCAGCGTTGCAGCATCACGTGCCAAGACGGGCGGTTCTGTGCCATCGGCAGGCTCAGCTTCCTGCATCCAGCGCCGTGGTGTTGTTGCAGTTTCGCGGAATCCTGGCCAGAAGGTATATGGTGATTTCGCATCATGGCTGGCAGAGGCCTGCCGCATTGGCTGCGTTATCCAGGTGGGGGCGGGCTAAAAGAGACATATGTGCAAAGATGTGCAAGTGCTTCACCATGAGAATCTCGCGGTGGCTTTGTTGTTGCATTGAGGCGGTGCCTGAGAACATGATTTCACAGACGAGTGTGTCTGGAGCTGAGGGGAGGAATCCTGGGGTAGAGACAACTGGGAAATGCCCTGCCACACATATTGCTCGCCGGACCTTGCTGGGATTCTGTGTGGCCAACCAGGCATTTCCAAGTCGCACCGGATGGGGCCATCGACATCCTTGGCACGTCCGAGGCAATCCTTGTCCAAGCATGACATCACGCCCAGATCGCTGATTACAGGCATTGCAACATCTGCAGGCCATCATGAGCATGCCCTTCGTTCGGGCTGCTTCATGGTATCCTCATTCACGAGGAAGCTTTGAGGCATCGACTGTTGATTGGGGGGGTTTTGCAGAGGTTCCAGACCTTATCCAACATCTCCCAGTGTGTAAGACTTGCTTTGTTGCAGGTCCTTCAAGAAGCCGGCTATCGCCTCGGCCGGTGTCTTGCGGCCAAGGTGGATCGCACGAGCCCTTTGTAGCTCCAGCTATCTAGCAATTTGGCGAGTGGTTGCATGTTGCAGCTTTTGTGGCAGGGCTTCATGGGCTTTGCATCAGCTGACGCACAGCGGCATTGGAAAGCTTTTGGGTTTGCAGGTGCTGCAGGGATGGGAGGCAATTTTGGTTGGCCAGTGTTGATTTGCAACTTGTCCTTTGGGCTTCTTGAAGCCCCCTCCACAGGTGGAAATGCTATGTGTAGGCTCTGCGGCTCTAAGGCACTTGTTGCTAGTCTGAATCTTCGCTTCGCTTACTTACACCAAGGACGTGGTTTTCTTTGACAACCCCGAGTTTGATGCCAACGAGATGGTCTCGGACTGGGCCTGCAAAAGTTTCATGTCACAACGTGACTCTACGCAAGAGGCTGCATGATCTAGCAGCACCAGGAGCCTCGTGAGTCGACGCCAGCAATCATTGGTAGCGACACGCCGGTCAACCCTGAGGAGCATTGCGACATGTGAGTACTCATGTGTTGCGAGCAACAAGTTACCAAGATGGTTGGCGCAGTGTGCAATGTGCAAGGGAAGCAGGAATTTTGGAAATCAATCATCAGCCAAGCATAAGCATAGGGAGAGAAAAGGAGGCATGCCTTGACCTGCCAGGACCTGATGTTTGGCAACCTACGGTCTGCCACTTACAGCAGTCCCAGAGGGTTCCCTCAGAAGTTGCCGGGAATTGGTAAGCATGAGATGCCTGGTACCTGATATTCCACTAGACTTCAATTTTTCAAAAGTACTCCAATGTAATCCAGAAATCACATTTGGTCAGCGGTCATGGCTGCCAAAGCCAACGTTCTGGATGGCCAGTCCGGATTGACTGCGATCGAGAGGAAGTTCCACAGTCGTCAGACACTGCTGAGCATTTTCATGCTAGTTTTGCACGAGATGCACGAGCTGCCTAGCGATGCTGGTCTAGCGTCCTGCTACTTCGCGCAGAGTACTTGTGCCATCTGCTTGGGCTTTGTGGTTTTTCTGAAGCTGCCTTTGTTATTCTTCCTGTATACATTTTGGAGAGCAAGGCTTTCAACAAATGGACTCTGGGCCAGCAGTATGGGCGTTGAGTCCTTCGAGGAAGCATTTTTGTGGGTGGTAGAGGGTAGTACTCCATGTTGGCAGTACCGTGAGAAACGCAAAAGATATCAAAACACAGCGACGGTTTAATGAGCCAAGCATTTGACTCCTTGGGGCCCGCGCTGCCAGGGCCCAGAATTGGCAGGGATGCTTGTTGCGAATTCGGCCAGAACCTGTTGAAAGGTTGGCTCGGCCAATCCACCAGTCGGCTTTCTGGGATGGCAGCATAGACTGCCCAGAGAGATTCTGGCCGATGAGCAGACGGAAATCCGCAGAACTTGATTTGCAGCAGAATTTGGGAATGGGACAGTATGGGCTGACCAAAGCTTACAAGCTAAACGCTGAAAAAAACACCACAAGTAGGACCACCCGAAGCTATTCGATGAGTTTCAGTTTACACCGTTTTTGTGCATTTGCCTCTGGCGCTGCGACAAGCGCGGCATTTTGGCACTGTCCGGTTTGACGCATTCCCAACATTGCTTCTGATTTGAGCAATTGCACGGCAGCAGAAAGCTGGTTTCCACATGCCACAGTATGCTTGCTGTACAGACGCACGAACTTGTCGAAAATGAATGCCCTTCGACTGGAAAGTGCTGCATGATTCCTGTTTGCATGACGGGTGACATGTGTTTCAAATGACTTGGCACGGCCTCCAAGCCCAAGCAACGGAATCTTGCAAGATGCCTGGATTGCACAATGACGCGCTGACATATGCTTACCGAGGCACACGCCTACGCCTCCACAAGTTCCCAACACACGCATGCTCTTTTCCACTCACTTTGACGCAGCGCTCTTCCTTTCCGTAACATATTACATGATCCTCCCTGTTTTTCTGTCTCAGTTCTCTGTCAGCAACACCGTCTAGATTCGGTCTGATAGATAATTTGCTTGCCAAATTTTGCAGGTATTGTTTACTAGATAATTTGCGCAACTTTTGCACACTCTTGCTCTCCGCATTCTTCCTCCCACCGCACTGAAATTGCTACGTAGCATGCTTCATGAGTTCCGTAATGCCAGCTAGACCCTTGGGGTGAGTACGAATCAGAACAGATTTCAAAGGATTCTGGAGCTAGAGTCTCAGAGTGCTGACAGCGAGCCCTGTCGACTGCAGAGAGTTGCCGGAAAGCATGCTAGATTTGTCAGAACCCTCGCGTACTGGCAAAGCATCTGATCTCATCCCAGGCATCCGTGCATTTCATTTTTGTTTTTGAGCGGAGGTGAAAACATGCAGCACGTTTTAAACGACCGTAAGAGCTACTTCTCAAGGTCGCCATCGCCCGACATCAGCGTAGAAAACGGTGACTTCCAACCGCCTGGTTCCCAGATCTCACTCACGATTGCCAACCAGAGGTCAGATACTGTGAGCCGCTCAAAAGCAAAGCTCCTCGATGGCCAAGGTCCGCAGACTCCCTACCAGAAAGCAGGCAGGCGGACTACAATGCGGCCCTTCAGGTCCACGAGGACCGCTGCAGCAGATTGCTGCAGTAAGCTAAAAGATGAGTTTTACCTCGTAGCTAGCGTGGCAGGAACAAATGAAGTGGGAGCGGCAGTCCTTTGATCCTGTTTTCATCTCAGAACTGTCATTCCAAGCCCTGAGCGTTTTGAGCAGCTGCGCCAGTACCATACTGCAGAGGTGAGCCTCATGCTCGGAGGACCTGATCAGGTTGGGAGTTGCTGACATGTGGAAGTGTTCTGGGAGCTGGGAGTCTCGCAGTTTCTGGATATGACCCACTGGCCGGGACCAACACGCTTTTTGTTGCCTTGGGAGATTTGCAGATGTCCTGATCGCCATTGCTGATTTCATGTGCAGAGCCTATGGCAGTAACCCTTCGGGGGATAGAGGCGTTCACTCTAACCTCTAACGTCGTGGCCTCCTCTGCGTGCTTGCGGGTGCACTCTTACTGCTTCAGCGGCTGCTCGAGCAGCTTGCATGTGCGAGCGACGGGACGTGCTGGTGTTGCTGCTTCAGTGTGCCCAAATTCAATGCAGTGTTGCTTCCTGCTTTCTTGCCGCCATTTATGAGCGGAGTGTTTTTTCGTCCTCATCGTCATCAAGCAGGGTTGAGCTTTCCAAACACTCCGTACAATGAGAAGGATGACTTTGCTTTTGGCTGGTAAGACCGCACGCAGGTTGCCAGCTCCACCTTGAGCCCCTTTGCCTGTGCGGGCCCCGGCTCATGTCTCCCCAAACCAGTGAGTGCAGCTTTGAAAGCTTAAACTCATTTGTGAGTTTCTTGAGATTTGGGCTTTCGATTAAGATTCTCAGATGCGATCTAAGGTTGGGTGGTTGACGTGGACACGCGCCTTACAGATGAGGTGTGCTGCTTCCCATTCGCCTTTTCAGGATGCTGTGTAGTATCCGAAGGCAGCGATGCTTTTCCCACTGAAATTTATTGCCCAGGCTCGCTTAATACCGCTGTGTTTCCCACGCCTACCATGCGACAGTACTAGCATCCAGCTGAGCTGAGGTGAAACAGGATCCCGTGCATGGCCTCATGCAGGTTTCCTCAGAGGCAGAGCTCCACAAGATCATTTCCATGTGGTTTACTGAGTCGTTAGAGAAGCAGAACCACTTCAACTGCAGGCGCAAGATGGCAACAACCAAGATCTTTCGGAGGACGTGTGCCTCTGAAGTGCCTGAAGGGATTTGGAAGGTGATGAGCAGCCTGAAGCCCTCCTCTCGTGGGTGAGACAATTAAAATGCAAATGCAGCTTTGGGAGGTAGATTTTTTTTCGAATCTCTTTAGATTGGGTCGTGTTCGGTGTCTGGCTTGGCCCAGGCAACAGGCATGGGATGCCTTTCAGGAGTTTCAATCCTGAACGACCCTCTCAAGAAACAGTAAGGTCATGCCGGAGACCCTGAGAACACATGGTGAAAGTTCAGAACAGCTGCCAACTTCGCACAACTGTGAGGAGGGAAGGTTTTGGATACCGAAGAAGACTACAGAACCCAAAAGAGTTTTCAAGTTTGTCGCTTTTCCAAGTATGATCTGAATCTCAAGGAGGAGAGACTGGTTCGTTCTCAGCGTTGGGCGATGGTGAACAGTGCAGGGCTCCTGGTACGGATACCGCTTACAAATCTGCAATTAGTTTTGAATCAAGCTGGGTTCGAATACAACCTGCAGAAACCTTGTTAGTGCAACGGCAACAGTGGCCTTCTATGATGCTTCCCTCCCTCTTGATTCATGGTGGCCGAAATTCAATGGGGATGCACTGACTTGCAGAAGCAAGAAGTAGGAGCAAAGTATGTCACTGAGGGACGAAGCAATTTCTGGCGAAAGGCGGGTAGGGCGAACAGACACGGCAAGCAAACTGCGTCTGAGGTTGCACTTGCGCCGCAGCTGGAGAAGATGAGCCATCAGGTTTTGTTCCAGGCTGCTGAGCGTTCTCTTCGTGATTCGTGAACCGTTGAACGACAGACTAGACTCAGGCTACAAATCATGTCGTGTTGCCACAACATACCATGCCACTAGCAGCTTGAGTCACCAGACATGTCAGGATGAGGCCATGAACAGTCAAAAACATCAAAACGTGACCTTGATTTTAGACTCCGAAGTCTGAGCAAAAGCATCTTTGCTTCACTGTGTCAGGCAGCCAAAATGCGCGGTGTGTCCTTCGACCTCTTCCACAACGTCGGATGTATCTTCACGTGCTTATGCAGCACTTTGCGCTGTTTGTAGGCCCTTGTAGCAGAACCGACTCTGTGCATGTTGTTGTGCTAGCGACATCACGTTGCAACTTGCTGCCCAGTGGTGAGACAAGAGGCCGGGGCTGCTCCGGGGCTGTTCCACCATTCGAGGTTTCTCGACGTTGTTCACCAGCTTTTTGCCTTGATGGTCGTCGACAAGTCGCCCGAGCAATGTGCAAAGAGCAGACCTTGGATGAATTCTCATCTCCCGCAAGCCTCGTACATGCTGCACACGCAAGCATTTTGTTGAGGAAGATGTCTGGAGCGCTTGCGGCTATTGCAGAAGGCCTGCCGTGAGAGCTAGAGTGTTATCAGGGATAGGTAGAGGTAGAAATTGGTAGAAGTTTTGAATTCCAATTCGAGCCCAAGCTGAAGATGTGGTTGGGTGTTGGGTCCCCGTGCCGGATGCAGACATGCAGACAGGTTCCAAGGGGGCACCGGGTGCCTCCACCCCAGATTGCCTGTGGCTGCCAGTGCGAGATTGCAAAAGTCAGTGAATTGTTGTTTGTTGCATGAGCAGGTTGCTAGTGGTAGTTGGCGCCCTTAAGCGATGTTCCGAGAAAGTGGTCTGTCTACGAACGTATTTGCCGTTGTTTAGTGTGAGAATCAGGAGCAACGGTCCTCAGCCTTGGACCCAACTCGTGATTTCAGCTGAGGCAAAGTCCTGCACCAAACAAAAAGTCGGAGGGCTACCTCCAGAAGCCGAGAACTTAAACAAGCCAGGAGTTTTTTTGGACTGAAGGCCATGCTCCCCCTCACGTTGAAAATCTGTGTGCGGAGCAAGGCAACAGACCAGCTCACCATCGCAGATGTGCAGATGGCCTTGCGCGTTCGGTGCTCAGGGAGCCGTCAGGAAGCTATTGTCAAAAGGACGCGTACAATGGCTGCGGCTCTGATACGCTGTACTGAGGAAGTTTAACTTGTCAGACCAGTGCAATTCATCAGCTGGCTGATTATTTGATCTGGCTGCAGTACACTGGGCTGCAGCCGAGGTTTGCCTGAAGCGGTTCATTGAAAGGCCGCTGCCCATGCCAGCTGCGTTTGTGTTGTGTTCATGCTGAAATTCAATTATGAGCTGAGGAAGTGAGCGCAGAGAGGAGCGAAGCGGGAGTCAGTTCAAACCCGTGTCATCATGTGTGTGGAAGGTACTAGGTCTTCAGGTGTTTGCAGATTGTTTTACTGTTTTCGGACGTGTTCACAGCAACAGAAGGCAAAAGACAAGTTGCAACACCGGAACGTAATGCGTTTCACTGTAGTAGCTGCGCCCTGGAACACCAAACGGTGACATCAGGTTTCGCGCAGGGCTCTCAACGCCCACCTCCCCCCGGAATTTGGGAATGGTCCTGTGTACACAAAGCTGAACAACACTGGTCGGCGCCAACCAGTGAAGGCTTTCCTGGTCAAGGGAGTTCATCCCCAGCAAATGCGCAGGCTCGACTGCAATGCACGTGCTGTTCCTGCATCTGTGCGGGACGGGTCTGAAACTGGACCTGGGACAGCAAGCAGTCTCTCATCGCCTGCAGCACGAAAGCGCTCCAAATGTGTGCTGCCTGTCCCGGGTCTGCTGCATGGGCATCAGCAAGCAAGATTTCCACAGTCTTTTCCCTAACTCTGCCTCTTGTACCAGTAGCTTTTCTGGCCCTGTCTTTCAGCGCAAGTTCTTGTAGAGAGAAAAATCATTCAACATCTTCTGATTGTCAACTAATACTCAGCGAAGGAGTACCCTGAGTAGTCAGGAGTTCAGATTTGTTAAGCATCAATCTACACTACTATCACTAGCCTAATCGAATCAGCCGCAACTGCTCCTTCGAAAGTGAACGCCATGGCGGCTGCTGTTCCAGTAAATGCACAGGCCCCTCGTATCATCTCCATTTGGTTTTTGGGTAATCGCTTTGTGCAGTCGCGCATGTTCCGGCAGTTTTGCAGCTCTGACAGGCCATGGACTTGCGAATCCTGCAGTCCATACCAACTCCCGTGGCAGATGCGTTGCTCTCGCGGGGGTGCAAGAGTGCAGCCGATGTGATATCTCGGCCCGAATCTCTAACAGAGGCATGCGGGTGCGGAGTGTGGGGATTGGCTCACAATAAGCTTTTGCAAGCTTGTTTCCAGGCCTTAATGCAGCATCATATTGCTGGCCCAGAGCGTGCCAGCAATATGCTAGCTGCTTGTCGCCGAGAGGCAGCTTCCAAAGATGCACCTTGGCATCACATGCTGCAGATTGTTCATAGGGTCGCAGTGAGCAGTGTGTATCTCAAGGCCTGGAGCTCCGCCGACTCTGCTTTATCGCTTCTCAGGAAAGGTCACGCTGTTCAGCCTTTGAGGCTTCCCAGCGCAGGCCAGCTGTTCTGCAAGTAGCATGTTCCCGGATGCTGTGTGTTGACAACGTAACGGACCGATTCCTGATGGGCTCAGGCTGGCGGGTGATTTCTAGTGTGGCGCACGGCTGTAGAAACTAGTCTTCCATTGTCATCATGGCCT